TCCTGTACTACTCAGATCGTAGAGACAAACTCTAGTAGAAGACCGTTAAGAGAGACTTGGGAAGATAGAGCGACAGATAGAGAAATTAATGGATTATTAAATAAGGGGAGAAAACAACAACATTGCCCATGGGTGGAAACCTGACAGGGAGAGGAACAACACAGTGAACGAGAAGGAGGGTAGATGGATGGAAGGAAAGGATGTCAAGTGTGAAGCATATGTGGATTGTGCAAGTATGGTTTTAGTTAGAGAAGAATGTAAAATACAATGACTCAATGTTACTGTGAATATTATTTTGTAAATGAAAAATCTGAAATAAAGAGTTAATTAAAAAAAATGTTTTCAAATATGTAGTTCATCTGCAAAAGTAACTGTCCTTAAAAAGGGAGTAAAGTGTTAAAGTGCATCACTGAACAGTGCAACAATGAATTAAAAATTTTGACTTGTACAGTATTCTTTTCAGTAACAGTCACTAGTAGATTCAGTATTGACCAGTTTAAAGTCCACCAATTCACAGGCTATGAACATTAAAATGTTCACATGCTCTTAAGCAGTAAAGGTTTTAAAGCAAGCCATTACTGACCTCTGTAGCTGCTGGTAATGTGAAGTGATCAATTCTAAAAGATCATAACCAAGAATACAAAAAGTTGGGTTTCTATAAACTTAAAAATACCTGCTGTTCTCCACAATGCCTACAGCTACAAATGAGAATTATGGCTAGGTTTTCAAATTGATGTTAGTGCTAGTTCAGAATAACAGCTTCACTTGCTCAGCACCAGCAGCTGATAAGTCAAGGACTCACTGAGCTGGATGCAGAGGTTCCTGCAGCAATATGACCAAATGTTCCCTTTGGAGTGCACAAACCTCTGATTTACTAAGCATGAATATCTTGAATATCCTACCTCAATGGATCATTTTAGCTGATCCTCACACTGCAGAACGCTTGATAAACCTAATACATGTGGAAGGTTTAAAGAAAAAAAAAAATATCCATAAGCATTACTTACATCTATCCAAACTACACACACCAAAAAGTATGAAAACGGTAAAGAGATGTAAAACGTTTAGTCCTGAACACAATATAGACAATATATATACACACACACACACACACACACACACACACACACACACACACACAGGAAACATACATTTCGAGAACAGCTTATGTCCAAAATGAAAACACACTGCAACATTTATCTAAAATCTAAACAGTCAATATGCAACATACAGACACACCAGTTATCATGTGGTTTACATACACACTAATATATATATATACATATACACACACACACATATATATAAAAACGTATGACTATTGCAACTTGGATAACTTTAATGCATACAGATTAGTCTAGTGGCCTTCATCCATGGCGTTTGTGTATTTTCAAGTGTGATTGTCAATTTCTCTAAGCAACATCACGTACACATCATGTTTCCTGTCTCCGCATGTATTTTATCAGTCACTGTGCATCCATGTCAAGGTTATTAACCTGAAACTTTGCTCATAGAATGAATGCGCAGTTTCTGACCAGATTAAACAATATTCAGGCATTAAAAGGGAAGTGGAATTGCAGAAGTCCCCTTATGAAGGGGAAGTCTTCTGCCACTATGTGCCCCTTCTGTCAGCAGGTGCTCAACAGTCTATGTTAACAGTTGCTGTGACAGGCAGGGCCCACTTTACCATCTTGTCTTGATTTGCATTATAAATGCAAAAATAAATGCAAAGTCTTTCTTATATTGTAAAATCGCTGTGTAAACTGTTGGCGCTATATAAAACCTGAATAATAATGGACAAAAGGGCTTGGGAGAAGGGGGGACCCTTACTTCTCCAAGAATTGTACCCGTCTCTCTTCTGTGATGGCATTGTGGCCAAAAGCCTGATTAAATATCATGTGGTCTTTAGTGAAGGATCCAAGTTCAGATCAGCTGACCTCACCTTTTGCAGAGATCATGTAAGTAAATGCCTAAGCTTTTCGTCACCTCACCCGGGGCAGTTTTTTCATCCAGGAAAAAACAGGTGGTTCAACATTTTCATCATTTTTTAAGCTGAATGTGACTAACTACTACTCATTACAGCATGACTAATAAATAGGATTGCAGCCCGTCTACTTTAAATGTATCCATGTCAACCTAGCATTACCACGAGTGTAGGCCTGTCTTAAAGTCACCAAGTTACACAACGCAGCCAGATGGAGTAAAAGTGAATTGTATTCTGGTTCTGGGGAGAAGATGGGAGTAGCAATACAAGCTGAGTGCGTTCAGCTTCAAGGCCATGAAGGCAACATACAACAACTCACCAGTGTTAACAGTTGGCATGTGCAGAAAGCTCCCCAAGTTTTAAAGATGGTGCCCTACACATTGTATGCTTCTATGTTTCCTAGGGTTTTTTTGTATCTAAGAATTCTTCTTTTGACCTACCGTAGTTCCAAAAATCAGGACTCAAAATGTTCCTTCTACATGAAGAACATTTTAATTATGAAGCGGTAAACCACTTTTAAAAATGCTTAAGAAATGTAGAAGTGCCATTCTTACATGGGTAGGAGGAAAGATACGATGGACACATTGCCTAGAGAAGCTAGCCCATGAAGTGTGAAGTTTAAAAAATTAAATGAATGGGCAACACAAACTTCTGTTCTTTAGTTCTTGTCATCTTTCTAAGGCAAGAACTACTGTGCAAACTATTGGCGAGAGTAACTTCTACTTCAAGTTTCTTTATTCTATGACACCTGAGCAGTTTTACATTCATATAAAAAAGAAAAGAAATAAAACCAAAAAAACTTACAAATCTCAAACAATCGTAACTGCAGATGGCAGTAAAGAAATTCCTTTGTTGAGATCAGCATCCATGAAAGGCAGGGCACAATATTTCCAACCAATAAATGGGTCTGTAGAAAAAGTCTTCTCTGTGACTGGTAAGTCAGGATACTTTAGTGCTAAACACACTGCTATTAGGAAACTGTTCATAAAATATAGCCAAGGCACATTCATGTCCATATATGCTGGGATGTGAGCACACAACGCAAATATGATCACCTGTAGAACAACAAAGGGACCCCACGTGCCCAAAAACGAGAACAAGAGGGAAGCCAAGAAACGTTTTTGGCCTTGAATGGGCCACTGGTCTCCAGAGGGGAATGAGAACAATACAACGGTGCTATTAGCATAAGAAACAACCTTCAGTGATTTTATAAAGGACACAATTTCCCAGCAGCACACAGCAAGCACGGAAAAGAGGGTGAAAACCAGGGCAGCCGATAAGTAGAAACTTTGTCTGCTAATGTAGAATGTGCACAGGTATGCCGAGTCATAGCTTTCCACTGCTGGATTCTTAACATGAGATTGAAGAACATAGATAAAGGCCATCATCCATAATAGCAGTACAGAAACGGTATACACCAGTCCAGAGCAAATCCATGAGATTTTTATAGACTTCACAATAGTCAAGTAGTAATCCAGCCCCGATGCCAACAAAACCGGAAAGTGCAATATACCATACGTGTGAGATACAATCTGGGTGAATAGACAAATGTGGTAACTGGTGAACCGCACTCCTACAACAGAGAAGTCCTGGAAGTAGTGGATGGAAGCAATCACAAGTAAGAGAGCAAAGTCCATAGCAGCAAGAGAGATGCAGAAATAGCCCAGGAAGCTGGCAGTCACATTCCGGTGCCTGGCTCCAAAAATGAAGATGTTCATGACTACTTTGCCAGCTATAATGAAGATGAGTAAACAACTGGGCTCCAGCTGCTGCAAGTCTGTCAATGGGACCTCATGACCATTCATTACATCCAGATCTGCCATGTTGTCAGAAGCCGCTATGTTGGTGAAAAGGATTTCATCTGCCATGATGGGACAGAACGGCGTGCTATCTGCTTCACAAGGTTCTTCTTTCTGAAACAATACAACAGGTCACACTAAGGTACATGTAGAAAAGGCTTTGCTATAAAATTAACACACACAAATTAGATAGGATACACACAGTATCTCACCGGAATACCCCTCACATTTATTTGATTATATCATTTCATGTGATGACACAGAAGAAATGACACTTTGCTACAATGTAAAGTAGTGAGTGTACAGCTTCTATATCAGTGTACATTTGCTGTTCCCTCAAAATAACTCAACACACAGCCATTAATGTCTAAACTGCTGGCAACAAAAGTGAGTACACCCCTTGTAGCAAAGTGTCATTTCTTCTGTGTTGTCACATGAAATGATAGAATAAAATATTTACAAAAATTTGAGGGGTGTACTCACTTCTGTGAGATACTGTATATATTATATTTTAATTAAAGTAGACCTTTACCCCTTTGACTACAAATCACGTCAGCATACAGCTCTGCATGCCGATATGAAATCTTACATTAGCTAAACATTTTTATTTTACTTTACTTACAATTTTCCCCCCCACTTCCTGGTCCACTTTGGCACAAATGTAACCAGGATGCAATGCTTTGGCACGATTACATCAGCAGAGCATTGCTGTGAAAATCTCATCTGTAATCTCACGAGATCTCAGGGAAAGGCATTTTCCTCCCCTGAGATGTGTATGGTTACATGTCCTAGTCACATGTGCCAGAGTTTCAGGAAATAGGACAGCTAGTAACCTGCCCGTAGTTAAAATGTGAGAAGATTGGGGAAGAAAGGAAAAATAAAAAAAAAGGTATGAAAAGAATAAAAAGCCGGCAATTATCTAGATGTGTTTGTAGATTGTCATTACTAAACATTTCTGTGTATTTGTTGTTATTTTGAAGATATAGGTTAAGTTCCTCTTTAATGTCTTAATGATGCCATTATATCATTATCCAGAAACAATCAGACCACATTATCCAGGGAAGATTTAGCTGCGTTGCCCTCATTCTAAACAACCGACCGTGCCAGACTATTCTACCAACATGTCTGGCCATTGTACACAGCAAGTTACTCTGGATAGAATAGCTTTGCCTGTTGTGAATAAGTGTTAGTACCATTACTCACTATTCTCTCCCTGTCACAGAAGAGAGCATTTCAGTGTGTGGTGTACTGCCTGAGCTCAGGGCTGATGAGGGACACTGTACCTGGGCTCCTAGACAAGTGTAAAAAGTCAAAGAACTAAGATTTTTGGTTTACTTTCCCTTAAACCCAAACATCTTTGCAAAATGACAAATTGTGGCATCAGTCCTAAGCTCAGACAGGAGAGAAGATGACCCTACAGCCTGGCACTTCTGCCCATGACATGGAGAAACATCCAAGTAAAAAAAACCACAATCAATATAATGATCAGAAATACAGCAGAGGTAAGAAAGTGGAAATTCAAAAACATTACATAGCCCATCAGGGGCGGATCCAGAGTCTAGTCTCGGGAGGGGCACCGCCAAAAAATAAGAAACGAGGACGGAAGCAGAGCAGAGGAGAGCAAAGCCGTCAAGAGATTTTCGGAGGAGGAGGGGAGGAAGGGGGGAGGGTTGAAGCCTTTGATCCCCGCACAGCGGCCGGACTACTGCGGTTGGGAGAGGCTCTCTATCTCAGGGGGCAATTGCCCCCCCCCCCTGGATCCGCCACTGTAGCCCATCGATTGCTCCCAGATCTTTAAAGCATATGTAAACCCTAACAAACTTGGTGACACATTATTCAGTAACTAGATCACAAGTAGACAAAACATTTCTCCAGCAGTCAGTGAGCCACTGCTGTGGTTTCTCATTCCTTTTATCAAAAGCATTCTGAAATGAAAGGTGTTGGGTCACCTTATACCGTACCAGAAAAACCGGATTCTAAAAAGGTAATTATGATAATCACACGTCAGGTTTATTTAATGATAACAGTACAGAGTGACACGGTGTATACTGTAGCAACAAAAGCAGCCAACAAGGTTTGACTCAAGATCGCCAAAAGATTGTGTGCTTGCTCAGTCACTGTACTTTGGGATGGCTAAAAAAAAAAGAAAAAATGATTTTGTATGGTACTGAAGGGTAGAATTGTTCAGATCTCCAAGCAGAGGCTTTGTACAAGTTATTGTACAAGTTATTGTACTGCAAAAGGGAGTGCAAAAGGCAGAATATTTAATTTTCTGCCCATCCTGTGAGGATTACACACCCCCAGCCTGCGCAGACATTTTTCAGCTCACGGGACAGCAATCTAAGCATCAGCAGACTCAGCATAATTGTCACTGTGGCAGGTTAATGGAGCAGTTAAGTGACATTAGGCTCAGGAGTTAAATCTGAAAAATGCCTTCCAGTTCCTTAACTATTAACAAAAATGTAGTTTGTGTATCACTCCTGCCCTCCCTTATAGAGGGTGGCTACGTTTGTTCCCCACATGTCCTTGTGTGTATTGTAAAGTAGCCACTGACCCAAGATCGCTCCCGTGATGGACTACAATCTCATGTTTAGTTTACTCATTTGTATTGAGATTGTAGTCCATCATAGGGGGGAAAGCTTGGAGTGGTGTCTACTTTACGTTTGTTCCACTCGTTCGCTGCTGCATGCAACGTTCATACTACATTGGCTTCTTTTTACGTTTTTGCTGTGCGATTCCTCCACGGAAGCACCTCAGAAATTGTTTTGTACGTCTAAGCCAAAAACAAACATGTAAGGGGTTAATTGTTTTTCATAATAATAATAGTTTTAAAATACATTTGTTAGGAACCAAATAGGACGTTTCTTTCTCCTTGGATGCTTAATGCTTCTCATTAGCATTACAGACATTGTAACAGATTTAGGGCCTGTTCACACGACGTCCGTTTTCTGTGCTGACCTGATCCGTACGCTCCTGCACTAAAAATGCATCCCCCATGTGTTTTATGGGCTACAGTTCTCACGTGCGCAGTCCGTTCAGGCTACGACAGAAAAAATACTGCATGTCACATTTTGTACGGTCAGGAAATGGACCGGAAACGCAAAACGGGTCAAAAACGCACTGCAACATACCGACAGCCCCACTCCAGCAAATGGAACGCATTAAAACGTGGCAAAAACGCATAGCACCGCGTCTGCAGATCTGCACCTGAAAATCATTTGAACAGGCCCTTACGGTGTCTGAGTGATATCCTCTTCTACATTGAAGCCACTTTTTAAAAAAGTAACTCCACTACAGTAGGAGTTATTGAATAGAAGTTGAGAGTTTGAGATGTACGAGTTCAGCTATAGGTCAATATCCAAGACTCGCAGATTCGTATTCCTTAAACTGCACTCCAGACCATTTACGACAGGACCTCATAAGAAGTCTGTTGAAGACGGTGGCTACTTGAGTTTTATGATATCTCTGAATCCCTTTGGCTACAAGACATCTTCTTCCACGACTGCTTAGGGTATACATGAGATTTTAATCTGACCATTTTCGTTGGCGAGTGTGTTCAGTACCTCTCCCCCATTCTCTTCACACAGTTTGAGGTTTGTTAGACTGCACTATCACCACAAAGGCTTAGTACAACTGCGTGAAGCGCGAGGGGCTGCTAATAGCCAGAATATTTTACAGCTTTAAACTCTGCTGTGAGCACAAGTCAGAAACGGCTTTGTTAATAAGGAATCGACTTCTCCGACTACGGGGCCAAGCTCTTCCCACTCTCTATCCCCCGTCCAATGAGATCACCATTAGGGCAGTTTGATTGGACAGAAGTGAGGCAGCAGGAGGGCTTAGTCCCTATGTCAATAAAGTTAAGGCCTCAAACCAAAATCTGACAACAGAGCTTTGCTGCAGCTTAAATTAGGATTGGATCACAGAAGCCTGTAATCTGTTTTATCAGGATGCCATATTGTAACACACTGTAATAATGAAAGATCACTGTACACCCGCTGTCCATAGCCCTGTGCATGGCAGTGGTAGAAAGTGGTTGTCCTTTTGTATGATCATGCAATTTTTTTAATAAAGTCAATTTCGGTTGGCAGTCTTTTTTTTTTTTTAAACTGCTCACAATGGCCCTACTGTATCAGGTCGGGAATTTCAGCCATTGTACTATAGCAGAGTTGGTAGGTTCCCCTAAAGCTGCACTCCAATCCAGATCTGCTTATTTAGTGTTGGCCTTTACCGCCCCCCCCCCCCTCCCCAGGTTGATATACTTACCTTTTCCCTAGCTTCCATACTGCAGGGGGGTGGGGGTGTACCTGGGTCCCCACCCTGCTGATGAGATCCCACAGAATTCAGAGTAGTCCAGATCCTGCATTAAAATACTGTGTAGTGCAGGATCATCTTCACTAGAGATCTGAACTGCTCAACAATCCTTGCGATCTCATCAGAAGGATGACATCACCTTTCACCTAGGCACTGTGGGTAGAAGCCAGGGGAAAGGCAAGTATATTATCCAACTTTCCCTCCACAGGTTTTGAATGCTGCATTTTACCATTCGAGAGGGGGCTTGTTAAAATGCTGTAATTATACAAATATATAAATGCTGTATTTATATAAAGCACACACAAAGCAATAAGAATTTACATGAAAGCGGATTGTAATTCCATACATATCTTACATTTAAAAAAAAGGAAGAAAAAAAAACCCCCCCCCAGCTGAAACACTAGTTGTCTACCACTCTTTCAATGTACCAGAAGCACTTGCCTACTAGTAACATGAGAATAAGCTTGTTGAGCATTTCTAGAACATGAGCATTGAAAAAAATGTATGAAGGTCCAGTGATTTTTAAATCGAGCCGAGGCCAGAATAATGGTCCGGACAGAACAGTCACTCGGCTCATGTCCGTACCGCGGCCCGCCATTTAAGCTGCATTCACACCAGCACGACTAAACCTCAGGCGATAAAAATTGCGCACCATGGGATCCGATACTGGTGTACCTTGACATTGCATCTCTGAAAATTTTCCTTGGCTCTTTGTCCAACATTCACACTATGCTCTTGTTCAATGTGGGGTTGCTTCTCCTCT